ATATAATGGGTGCTAATAAACATTTGCGGATTTAATTCAATTACTTATCTTTACATTCCCTGCAGTGCCTAGAGAAAAGCTGTGGCTAATAAAATGCATGTTGAATTGAACTTCTTGTTTCTATATCCTTAACACTGCCACATCTAGTGTCTTGTATGTAGTTGGCATTAGTAAGTGGGTGGTGTTGAACTGGGTATGGGAGACCTCTGAAATCTTCTCACTGTTCACTGGTCAGGTCATGACACCCCAGGAGAAAGTTCTGGTTTCTCTGAACTGAGGAATCCAACTCTTCTCTAGCAAAACTCACTCTCTTGGCAAACTGATCCAACCTCTAATTTTAAATTCCCTCTCTCTTTCTGAAGACTTCCAAAGTTGTATCTCTAACTCCTGACCTCTAGACTCATGGATCTAACTGTTCCTTTGACATCACCACTTGAATTTCCAGTAGAGGTCTCAATATTAACATGTTCAATACAGAATGTGTCATTGTGTGCTGCAAACCTGCTCCTCTCGATGCATCCTGGTCCCAGGAATAGCAGCTCCATTCAGCCAATTGTTCAGGCCAAGAACCTCAACATCATTCATGGTTCTTCTCGCTCTCTCTCATTCCTTATAATTCCTCACAAATGGTTGGCTATTCCTTCAGAGTACATTCAGAATCCCAAACTTCTCATCTACTACTCTCGTCTAAGTCCCAACCACTTTTTGCCTGAATATTTGCAGTTGCTTCCTCACTGATTTCCCTATTTCCGAACAAGCCCTCTGGAGCCCTGGTGTGGCACTGTGGGTTAATGTGCCAGACTGCAAAGCCGTTTGAACTGCAAGGTCAGTAGTTCAAGTTCACCAGCTTCTCCTCGGAAACCCTATACAGGGTCGCTATGGGTCAGAATCAACTCTACAGCACTTAACAACAACAACAACAACAAACAAGCCCTCTAGAGTTGGTTTTCAACATGGCAGCCAACAATTCATTATTTTAAAATACAGGTTGGAATATGCCACTCCTCTGCTTCCTTTCTCACTCAGCACAACTAGAGACCCTGATCGCATGAGATACTCTCCCCTTCATTTACTGGCCTTCACACTATTCTTCAAACAGCACACACACATGCTGCCTCAGGATCTTTGCACCTGCCTTGTAGCCTCTGTCTAGAACACTCTTCTGGCTTAGTGGTTCCCCAAGTGCAGTCTCCAGACCAGCAGCATCAGCATCCTCTGGGAACATGTTAGAAATGCAGACTCCCGGGCATGGAATCATAAATTCTGGGGCAGTGTCTAGCAATCTGTGCTGTGGGCTCTCCAGGTAGACCAGGCACACAATAAAGTTAGAAAACCATTGTTTTAGACAGTTCCTTAGTTTGCTCCCTCAGTTTCTTCGGATCTTTGTTCAAAAGTCCTCACAAAGAGAGGTCACCCTTGGCCATTATCCCTAAAATAGCACTCTCTCAGTACCATCCAGATTCCCTTAGCCTTCATAGCACGTACACTATTGGCTTATTATATGAGGGGTCTTCAAAAGTCCATAGAAAAATGGAATGAAAAGATAATGGAATGAACCTTCTGAAGTCCCCTCATCTATTTGCAACAGAGTCCTGGTGTGGTGCTGTGGATTAATGCACTGGACTGCAAAGTCGGTTTGAACTGCAAGGCACATAGTAGGCACTCAATAAACACTGGCTGGATGCATGAGACCCCTCAATGCTCAGAGGGGAAGCTGGGTTCCGGAGAGGGGTGGGGACTTGTCCAAGGTCGCACAGGGAGTAGGCATCAGGACTGTTGGCTCCCGGAGCTGCTTCTTGCACTTGGTTCAGATGAGTTGCTTGCCCCGCCTCAGAAGCGTGGCTCATCAGAGCCCCCGGCACACTTCCCTTCCCTTTTAAGCTCTGAGTGGTTTAATTTTCGAGCACTGCCGCCTTTCATGTCCCAAGCTGCGTCCCTGCTCCCCTCTGATCTCTGAAGCTGCTCAGGCCCCCTTGCTGCTTGTCGGCCCCGCCCTCCCCAGCTCCGATCAGGAGGCTCCGTAATTGTGACTGATTTTCAAAGCTGCCTGGAGTATCCACAAGCACCCTGATGTCGGATTTGCTTCCCCTTCAAAAAGTTGCTCAAATGAAATAAACTAATTTAATTTCTGCTTCTGCCCTCCTACTCCTAGGCTCCTTGCTTGGCCCAATTGAGTCCCTCTGTCTGACATTTTCCTGAGTGGAAGTGAGGGTCAGTGGACTGGGAGAGGGAAGGGAGACACGGCTGGATCTGCAAGGAGAGGGCGCTGGCTCTGCCTCCCACTCTCTGTGAGGCCTTCTCTTGGCTTTTGGTTTTTTCATCTGTGAAAGCAAGCGTCTGGACAGTCTAGGAGTCGAGCCCAGAGAGTTGCTCAATCATGGACTCCCTTTGTGGCTGTGGGCCTCAGTGTTCCCATCTTCTCAATGGGGATGCTAACATCAGTTCTGTGCACCTCTCAGAATTGACATGAGAATGAGGTATGATAGATGAGCCCCCAACGTAGACATAGGGAGCTATGCCTCCACTTGGCACCTGACCCCTGAGTCACATCCATTTTTCATCCTGCAGAAAGAACTTTCTAGAATGCAGGTCGGCTCATGGCACTTGCTTGCTTATGCCTTTCCCAGGCTATCTGCTTCCCTCAAGACCATCAGACATTGCTCCTGTCGCCTTCTCCAGCCTCATCTCTCACCACCTTTCTGGCCTTTCCCCCTCTTCCCCTCAAAAACAATAAGGTCAGTGTTGGGTGAAGGGAGACTGGGTTATCTTCTTGGGCCAGAGTTTGAATCAGCAGGTGGGGGTTGCTGGACATGGACGTGGAACTGCCTTTGACTTGTGGTGTGACCTTGGACAAGCCACTGCCTCCCTCCCTCCCCCGACCCTAGCTGAGCCTTAGTTTCTCCACTTGCAAAATTGATTTCTAAGTTCACATTGGCCTCTGAAAATCCATTAATCTCTGCCACTGAAAATTTCCAAACTTAACTCTGTAGCCAGACCTCTCCCCTGAACCTACAGAACCAGCTACCTTTTTCAAGATCTTTGCTCGGCTACTTAGTGTTTCTAACTTAGCATGTCAGAATCCAAACTCTTCATTCCCCCCAACTGTTTCCCCTATCTCAGCAAATGGAAATGCCATCTAGTTAATTGCTTGGGTCAAATTCACCTGACAGCCATCCTTGAATTTTCTTTCTCTCGCACCCTACTTTCAATCCATTAGCAAACGCTTTCAGCTCTACCTTCAAAATATATCCCAAGTTGACCTCTTTCCAACACCTCTACTGATACCACCCTGTGTTCCAGCCACCACTATTTCCTGCCCACATGAATGCAGTATCTTCCTCAGTGGGCGACCTGCCTTGCCCTGCCCTTAGCCCCTCCCCCAGTCTACTCTTTATAGAACAGCCATGGGACCCTGGGAAAGCTAAGCCCGATCCTGTCACTCCTCTGCACCAAACCCTCCACTGACTTCGCTCCGCATAAGAAGTACAGTCAGTGGCTTTGGTCTGCATGGCTGCATGCTCTGGTCGGCTCACCACTTTCCTCCTCACTTGCTCTGCTCCAGCCACTGGTCCTCCAAATTCCTTAAGGGAATTCAACCTCAGGGCCTTTACACGAACTGCTTCCTCTTCCCCAGGGGCCCACGCCTTCACTTTCTTCAAGTTTCTTTTTCAATGTCACCTCCTCAAAGAGGCCTTCCTGGACCAGGAATACATTTGTTTACTTGCCTACGCCTGTCTTCCCCATCTAGGATGCACCCCCGACAAGAGCAGAGAATCTTGTCTGCCTGTTCACTGCTGTGTCCCCAGGGCCTCGAGCAATGTGTTACACATAGAAGGTTATCAACAAATATGTGAGGACAAATGAGCACAGACACATGGCGTGTCACGTGCACACACAGGCCTTAAAGTGGCATTCAGCTAGCCATGAAGTGCACATCTACAGATGCGTGTGCACACGGGTACCAGGCACACACATGTAAATGCATCTGAACATGTGAGTGCACGTGGACATCTAGCACACATGTGGATGCATGTGTAGCTTGTATACCAGACTGCCCCCATCACTGCTCCTACCCTTCTCCCAACCCCTTGTGCCCACCGCTCTCTGGTGACTTCCTCCTTCCTCATCACTGCTGGTACTCTCCAATCTGACAGATTTGGTCAGTCTGGAGGGGCTGGGACTGTGTCCTCCCTCAAGAACTCAAACAGCCCTGGCCTCTGACAGGGAGGGAGTCAGGGAGTGTGGTCTAGGACCCAGGGTCCAGAGTGTGGACAACTTAGGTGAGCACTTAGGTGGGGAAGATGGGAGCGACTGCCTTGGGCCTCTCAGCCCCTGACTGCAGCTTCCACAGAGGCTTCAGGGGCCCAGGCTAGGTGGGGTCCCACTGTGGGAGACCCTTCGTCTCACTCCCCCATGCTGTGTGAATGTGAATTTCTGAGTCTGGCTGTGTCTGAGGTCTTCTAGTAGATGCATGTTTGGGAGTGTGTTCCTCATGTTTTTCTACATGTGAATGGTGTGTGTGCAGTGCCCCGGGGTGTCTGCAGCCTTGCCCGAGTGTGTGATTGGCTGGTTCTGTGTGCACCTGTGTTGTAAGTCTTGTTGTGTTGTGGCTACCTTGTGAGCAGTGAACAAAGGTGTAGGGATGCCGGTGTACCTGGGGGCTGCTTTGCCCATTGTGCGGATGCATGGAGCTGTGCACATGGGTGGTGTGGACACAGGTGAACGAACGGGTTATCTTGGTTGTGGCAGGTGTCTGTGTGTGCAGACAGGAGGACTATGCCTGAGTGTGTGGATGGGTCTGTGTGGGGGTCATGTCCACATGTGTGACTGAGTCCTGTGTTGGCTTTGCTCAGGTGTGCAGCTGTGTCTGTGTACATGACAGTGTCTGGGAGATAGCTTTTGCTCACACCTGTGCCCTCTGGCATCCCAGCAGTTTCTGCCTCTTCTGTCTCTGGCAGGTGATCCCCCTGGCTCACCCCCATCCCTGGAGCGGAGCTCACCTGTAGGGGAGAGCTCGGCCACACTGCCGATGTAGGGGCCATGCAGGAAGCGGGGCTCACTGTCGTTGATGTCCTGCACCTTGATAATGAACTCAGACTCCGGCTCCAGCAGGCGGTTGGTGGCACGGTCCCGGGCCTGGGCGCGCAGTGTATAGAAGGTCTTCTGCTCACGGTCCAGGCGCTCCATGGCATGGATGTCCCCTGTTAGTTCATCAATCAAGAAGATGGTGCCGGCACCCTCGCCTGAGATGGTGTATTTGATAGCGCCGTCACCCTCATCTGAGTCTGAGTGGATCTGGGGGCAGAAGGAAGGCGGGGCAGAGGTTGGGGTGGAGGCTCCTTTCGGCCTCCTCTAGGTCCCACTCAGGCCTGGTCCTTAAGGTCCACCTGCGTCTTTGGTGAGGACATGAAGGCCCAGGAAGCCACACCTCATTCACCCTAGTCTAGGCCACACTATGTCCCACCTTGGCCCCAAACCTGCCTTCCCCTCTAGACCAGACCCATCAGCCTAAGAATCGGATTCTAACAGCCCTCCCTTGTTTGTAGCCCTTCCATAACTCCCCATTGCTCTCACAAAGGAGTTCAAGGTTCACTGCACCTTTGTACTTCTCAGCACTAGGATCCCTGGGGCTCCTGCTTTGAGCTCCTTAGATTCTACTCATCCTGTCAGGCTCAGCTCAAATGCCACCTCTTCCAGGAAGCTTTACAAGATTCCCCTCTGTCCCCACCCCCACTTCCCACCCTGACCTCGCTAACGTAGTAATGAAGTCATCATTGCTTTGCTCAGCTCTGTAAGACTGTTGTAACCAGCACTTTCCAAATTGCTATGTGCAAACAAATCACCAAGGAGCTTGTTAGAATGCAGGCTAAGAAGCTCTGATAGTGGGGTGGCAGTTCATACCCATCAGTTGCTTCGCAGAAGAAAGAAGAAACTGTACAATCCCATGAAGATTTACAGTCTTGGAAACTCAGAGTCATTGAGTCAGAATGAATTGACTTGATGGCAGTAGGGATGTTGGTTTTTTAGGGGGATCAGGGGCTAGGTCTGGGGTGGGGCCTGAAGTGGTTTTTGGGTTTTGCCTGGTGTGGCGTCTTAGGATAAGCACTCGACCTCAAGGATGGTTTGAACTGCAAGGTTGGTAGTTCAAACTCACCAGCTGCTCCTCAGAAACCCTATACAGGGTCACTAGGAGTCGGAACCCACTTAACAGCACTTACCAACAACATTTTAAAGGTCCTGGTGGCACAATGGTTAAACACTCAACGGCTAACCAAAAGGTTGGGCAATTCAAACTCTATGCGAGGAAGACCTGGCAATGTGCTCACACAAAGATTGTTGTTGTTAAGTGCTGTCAGTTCATTCCAACTCACAGCAACCCTGTATAGGTTTTCCAAGGAGTGACTGGTGGGTTTGAACCCCCTACCTTGTAGTTAGCAGTCCAGTGCTTATCCTACAGCGCCATTCCAGGACTCCACATATTCTGTTGTTTTTGCTGTTACCTGTCACTGAGTTTGTTCCCACTCATAGCGATCCTGTATAGGGTTTCCAAGGAGTGACTGGTGGGTGAGCTTGAACCATCGACCTTGCAGTTCAAACCGACCTTGCAGTCCAGGACATTAACCAGCCTAGAAAATCCAGTGGAGCAATTCTACTCTGTCCAATGGGATTGTTATGAATAGGAACTGACTCAATGGTACACAAGAAGAAGGCACTTTCTGGAGTTCCTGGGTGGTGTAAATGGCTGGTATATTCAGCTGCGAACCCGAAGGTTGACAGTTCGAGTCCATCCAGAGGTACCTTGGAAGAAAGTTCTAGCAATCTAGTTCAGAAAAATTAGCTATTATAAACCCTATGGAACACAGTCCTACCTTGCCATGGCTTCTGTGAGTCAAAGTTGACTCCAAAGCAACGGATGGCCATACAAGCTTTCAAACTGTTGGTCTGCAGACCTCCCTTTGACTTACAGGCCTTTCTGGAGTCTTGGAGGTCGGAGGGACCCAAAATGATTACTTTGAGATAGTCTTTAAACCCTAAACCAAAGATAGCCCCTGAAGCCTTCTTAAATCCAACAACAGTTTAGTTTAACTAATAAAGGGTGTGTGCTCTGAACACTGTGCTCGTTTAAAAACTCTCGGCTAGGCTATCTATGTGGGATCCAGCTGGCAACAGCAACTCGGAGGATTAGACAGGAGCCTTAATGGGCAGAGAGCGTATGCTAATGGAGAGAAACAATTTGGAAAAGGAGGGTGTGGTGGCAGGCACAATTTGAAGACTGTTAATCAATGTCAATGATTGTATATGCAGAAATTGTCGTTTTGGTGTAACAAAATGTTTAAATGCTGGACTATCAGTCAAAAGATCGACAGTCTGAACCTGCCCAGAGGTGACCTCAAGTCTGAATTTACAAAGTTCACACCTTGAACACTCTATGGAACGCTTCTACTCTGCACACGAGGTTGCTGTGAGATGGAATTAACATGACAACTAACAACAGCAACATGTATGAATAGATCTATCTTCTGACCACATAAAGAATGCCAGAAACCAGTTTCACCAGTGTTCCTCCAACAAAAATAAAATAGACCAGTGACATAGAGGATTGGGAAATCTAGCAGGGAGTGGAAGAATGGAGACGTGGAGACAAGGAAACGTTGCACAGAGTTAGAGTCCATGATATGATCCAGGAGAAATACTCTGAGTGTGTATGTACTTTAAACATTGTTCATGGCCTTTGTGTGTGTGAGAATACCTCAAGCATTTCACTTATGTGCATGTCTTACAGATTCTATGGTCAGTTTCAAATCTCTGCAATGCACATTTAAACCCAATAAAAAAGGTAAGGATTAAAAAAAGAGGATAGTGATTAATCTGTACATGTGAATGAAAACTGCCTGGTGTGAAAAATAAATAAATAAGGGGGAAAAAATGTTGCAAGAGCAAGGTCTGTTTGTTGGAGGGGCCGGCCTGGCTCCACAGTCTGGGAGGAGTCCAGGAAGGGGTTAGCCTTGGCTCCACCATCTCCCCATGGCCTTGCAGACGTCACTGTGTCTCTGGGCCCTAGTTAATGTTATCTCCAACATGGGACTCCTCCTCTTGGTGGTGAGCAGTTAATGGAATTAGAGTTTGCATGAGGTCCTATCCCCTACTTGGTCAAAGGTAACATTTAAAAAACACCAGGGCATTAATCACAGAAAGTTCTGCAGTCTGGCCAGGCAGGGACTCTTTGGTGGTGCCCAAGGAGCTGAATGCTAGGGTGAGAAAGAGGAGAGGGATTATTTATCAAAGGCATGGAGGGTTTTTACTACTTTAACAACCAGTACAATCAGATCAGTGTATTAGCTGAAAATCAGCCTTGCCTGAGGCATACTAAGTGTCCAATAAATGGTAGCCATTGTTATTATTATATTATTACTAAATGTGAGCTATACATAACTGGGCTTCAATCCAGGTCCCAGACGTTTCGCACTGCACTCAGATCTTTTGGACAAGGAATCAACAAGGAGGCTGTTTCCCCAAACAATAATACCCAAGTCTGTGTTCTCTGTTGTCCAAGCCTCCAAGGCAGCCCTGAACATAGGAAAATTCATTCAAAAGTGACCTTGGGAAGATCCTTGGTCCTCAATAAGTTTCCGGGGAGATGGGGCATGAACGAGACAATCTCTAAGGGTTCTTTGGGGCTAGGACTCAGCACTCTTGGCCCCTTCAACACAGGAACAGGTGGCTATGAAGCCATTACAAGGAGGGATACAAACCCACCCTCTGCCATGCAGGAGGAGCTTGGGTATAAATTCTGCTGGTGGAACTTGGTGTCTGAAAGGTGGATTATAGAAGTGCCATTTGGAAGATTGAATGGCCCATAAACATTTTCATATTTCATTAGCCGATTAATGGGCATCTCTCTCTTTTTGGCGAGTCTGCTGATTCTCAGCAGAAATTGCGGGGAGTAAATGGAGACGTCTGGTGGAACCTTTCCGGGTCCCCATCCTGTTATAGATTGCCCCAATTAATGCCCGTCCTGGGCTCCACCGAGAAGCCTCCTTCCTGTCCAGTTACTGTTAATAGATTTCTCATAAGTGGCTGGATTGTAAAAACCTCATAACTCACTTTAATGCCCCCAATAAAATTATTTCAGGATGTCGGCCCTGAATCATTGGCACTGCCGGGGATGAGACCTCTCTCTCTTGTTTGCTGTTTATACTTTGCCCCCCACCTTCACCCAGGGGCTGGGAGAGTGGGAGAGGGTGGCTTCACTCCCCACTTTGCAATCAGACTTGTAGCCTACCTATGGAATCTGCAAACATTTCTGAGAAGTGTGGCAGAATTGATGCCATTTGGGAGGGGCAGGATGCTTCCCAGCTATCATTTTATTTGTCCTCATCATGAAACAGTATTGCTCTTCCTATTTCTCAGATGAGAAGACTGAGGCACAGAGAAGGGACATCATCTATTTGGTCACCCAGCTGCTAAGTGGGAAAAGCTAAGCTCCTAAGCCCACAGCTAACCTGCCTTTGCCCGCAATGGATGGTGAGCATGGACTTGTGTAATTACCTCTCTGAGGGATCAGATCAAGCCCTACCTCACATAGGTGTGGTGAGGTGTCAATGAGAGCATCCTTGTCATGCACGATCTAAGCACTCTGTCAACAAATGTTTCCATTCTCTGCTATCTCTTGGGTCTTCTCAGGTCCCTGCAGCCTTTGACATTTTAACACAGACCCTGAACAGAGATGACTTAAGAGTGAGGAGTGGGAAGTGGGCAGTGGCTCAGGGCTGATGTCATCGGTGTTTTTCTGTGAAGTGAGTCAGGGGCTTATGCTGGGGCTGAGAGGTGGCTCTCCAGGGACTTTGGAGTCAGGGGGTTCACACTCGGTCTGACTCTGCAGAGGGGAGGGATGCTGTAGCTCAGTCTCCGGAAGATGATTCTCAAGCTGCTGAACAATGAGGAGGCTGGATGCTGGCGGTTGGTGTTTCGCTTTACTGAGTGGCTACTATGTTTCAGGTGTATGTTTTAGGCTATCCATAGAAATCTAATGGAACTCTGGGGCACAGGTAACTGTAGCCCCATTTTCCAGTTAAAGAGACTGAGGCAAGGCTTGGTCTGTTGGTCCCTCTGCTGCCTCTGGGGATTTGGTGAATCTGTTTATAATGCTTCTGGCTGAAGAGGAGGGAGACAGGAGGAAGGGGCCTTGACATCTGCCTCTGCCCTGTACCCAACAGGCCCCAATCATCGGTGGCCTCTGCTCTCTGGACCTCCATTTCATCCTTTGGATGAGGACCTCAGACCACCAATCAGAA